GGCCACCACCAACGGGGCCTTGGAGAACGGGCAGCCGGACAGGAAGTCGCCCGCCCTACCGCGCCCGGTTCGCAACCTGGAGGTCAAGTTCACCAAGGTGAGGCAGTCGCCCGTCCCACCCACCCGACGGCCGCCTTGCTCCGCGCTGGGCTGCTCCTCCCGGGTGGCGGCGGGGACGAGAGGCCAGCAGGCCGGGAGCCCGGCTGCTCAGCTCGCAGGGTGCGGGGCACTGGGGGAGGCACGCCCTCAGCTGAGTTTGCCTCTCCGCCGGGCCGGGCCCTCCCGAAGCAGCGTCCAGGACAGGGCATCCCCGGCGGGAGACCGCCCAGTGCGCGTCCACCGCGGAGACTCCGGGACTCGCACCCCCAGACGGTCTCTCGGGTGCCAGGACTCAGCGCTTTAAGGCTCAAAGCCAGGCGAGGGATCCTCTGCAGCACCCGCGCGGTGCCAAGCTGCAGCCCTATGCGGCCCCGACGTGCCCCTGCAGGGCGCGCTGTGAAAGCGAGCGTGGTGCGCGGCCGCAGTGACTTGGGCGCGGTGGTCTCCCCGCAGACCCTCCAGCATGGTTTCCGGGGCTGAAGGGGTCGGGCTTCGGGAGTGTCAGAGGGGGACCGAGAACGCCAAGAGCCAGTCTGAGAGTTTGGGCTGCCCGGGTCTGCAACTGGAAGCCCCCGAAAACGTAATCCCGAGCAACCAGGGAAAAGTCGGGCACCTCCTGTGTTTAGCTGGTCCCCGCTCACCAGTAGAGCCAGGGCAAGTAGGAAGGTGCTCACTGACGAAACTGTCCTGGAGCCCAGAGGCCTGGGTCTTGGCAGGTCATGGTCTCAGATCTGGGCCTGGGAAACCGCGGGTGGCAGGGCCGCGGAGTCCCGAGGCTCTCGTCTTTTTTGCGCTGCGGCCTGGGAGGATGGAGCGTCGGCAAAGCGGTGAGATCACCTGCCTAGGGCAGGAAGGAAGATGGCGAGGCCTGGAGCCGGGGCTGAGCAGGGCTGGGAGCCCCGTGGCCGGCCAGGGGTGCGTGGGGTCCCGTCCCGTGGGAGGACACCGCAGGCCGTTTGGAGGCTGTTGGGCTGGTGCTGGGGGACAGTTTAGGGGCACAAGAGCCTCGGTAGGCTTCACTTCCCCCAATTTTGTCTCCTTTTATCTTTGCATCGTATCCATTGCCCCCAGCTGACACAGCACTTAGAAAATTCCATCAATTTTACTTTCAAAAGTAGCAATTACATCTCTCAAACAGTTTTAATCAACCAGAGAAATTTGCAGGCCACTATGTGTGGCCTTTAGATTTTAGTCTCTTGGCACTTACTGTCGGCTGGACTTCTGATCACATGACATTTAAATTAACTCTTTTCAGAGGGCTGTGTAATCAACAGAGACACTTCGATGCAGATTATTCTTAATGTAGTTTCCTAAGTAGTATCAGCTTCAGAGTGCAAATTCCAGCGCAAAATTCTGAAACAGTGAAAATAGCACCTAAATGTTTTTAGCGCCTGACACTGTTGGTGCTCACCTGTTATTGCTGGTGGTGGCTTTTTGTTTTATTTTTGCTTTATGAGGTTTGTTTGTTTTTTTTAACGCTGTAGAAATCAGAAATTACGCGTATTATTTTCCTTTTCCTTTTGTTCTGAGTGTCGTCAGAGCAATGCAGCCACATACGGAAAATCACCTCTTTCTCTGCAATTCTTTATGACCCTTTGCTAGTGTAAATGCAGCCCTTACTCTGAGAGGTAGATCTTAGCACATTCACAGAGTGGCTGGTGTCTGTTGTCTTGCTGGGTCTCCCCTCTCTTCTTCCTGGAACAGAACCTGGTGTGTAACTAAGGATAAGGGAAGGACATGAGATGGAGGAGCAAACATGGCTGTGATAGCCTGACACCAGGTCACACTGCATGCTCCTTTCTTCTGGAGGGCAAGGCCTCTGCCTCTCACTCCTTGCCCCAGGCTCACCTCAGCAAAGGCCTCCGCCCAGCACTTGAGGGGCCCAGACAGCTCGTATAGTTGTGGTTGAGGGTGGGCGACCCAGGCAAGCAATGCTGAGCAAGCCTCTGGCTGGAGAGGCAGCACAGAGGGCCGAGGAAAGAAGCTGGAGAAACAGAACGACAGGGCCGGGTGGTGGAGTGTGTGAACGGCAATGGTCTGTTATGTTTCAAACCTGACTCATGGTGCTTCTTGCTAATGGAGGACACACTGGAAATGGTGGATCTGAGCCCCGGCCTTGGGGCTGCCACTTCCCAGGGTAAGTCCAGCCTCCGGAAGGATGAAGCTCCTTTGTCTGTTCTCCTGTTTTTAACACTGGGCTCTACTCTGTGATTCCGGTGAGGGGAGGGTCCTTCCAAAACCTCCACATAGATCACAGAGAGCGCCTTCACTTCAGAGGGCCCCTTCCTTGCCTTCACATTTCGTCCAGTAGCAGAGATTATCTTTAAGATTTTCTGGTGCATTCGAACACTGGTTTTTATGATCTCTTTTATGAAAAATAAAATTCCCTCAAATCTCCTTTTCTGAAAACATGCTCCTTTTGAGTTTAGCGGAGGGCCAGCGGAAGTTACTCTAAATGGCGAAAGTAGAACCCACTTGGGTGCCCACCATCTTCACCTCTGTGGGCACCCAACACAACAGCTGTGGTTTTCCAGCTCAGACCCAGGATAACACGCCATTCTGTTCCTTCCATAAATTGCGAATTCCATCCACAGCTCAACGTGACATAATTCTATTCTGGTAGGAGTTTTGTTTCATACCAATTCACAAGTCAAGGGGAACACTTTTTTTCTAGACCCATTATCCTGATTTGAAGTTCAAAATAATACAGCCAGCATAATTAACCTCATTCTCTGACCCCTTCCTTATCTGTGTTTTTGTTTTGTTTTATTGGAGAGAAAATTCAACAGTAGAAACCAGTTACAAGATGACTCACTAATGTAGTATAAAGAGAAAAAAATTCTGCAAAATTAGAAACATGGTGATGGGAAAATATAGGTAGAGTTGGAAAGTCTGAATTTTTCTTTTAAGTTGCTGGACGATAGATCAGTGTCATAAATGACCAAGTAAATTTTTTTGAGCAGGAGGAACATGCTTGGGGATGAAGTATAACAGACATCTGATCGTTGCAATCTGTTTCCATCCCCTTATTTATATTCTCTTTTACCACCTTCTCATTTTCCCTCCCCCTTGGAATTGATACCAGGAAGGACCCAGAATCAGCAGTTTCACTGGTAGTCTCTATTACCTAACCCACGAAATTTCATCTTCCGCCAAATGGGCCCCTCTTCCAGGCTGCACTTTCCTCCCCACGCTAACTTAACTCCTCTTCTCTACTTATTAATTTCTCACTGTTACCGAGTGATTGCTTGCTGGATGGCAAAAGTGAACTCTTGGATTTGGTTTCAGCTGGAAGAATAAACCTGTAATTGTAGCCTGGCCTTTTCCGCGCGCTTCCCTGGGGGCCTGGCCTCACGTGGAAGGCGCTGAGCTTCCAGAAGTTGAATGGGCACAGCCCACGGGTGAGGGCTGCTCTTAGCTGGCCTTCTGTGCTTTGTCACCACTGCACTTACAAGCCCTGTTTTCCGTGGAGAGTTATCCAAACTGTGCACCAGCGGCTTCCCAGAGCAGGCTTCATTCCCAGTGAGTTTTTACAAGACAGCCCAGGACAGAGACACTGGATAAGTTGACTCCCCTCTCATCCATCCTCACTGGGGAGTCAAGTGTTCCAAATAAATAAATTCACGATCATTGAAATTAGCCCTTGCAGGGACACAATTCTTCCTTGAAATGATTTGAAGAAAAGCAAAAGCTATGCATGTAGATAGAGAGATGGAATCTGATGAGCTAGTCTGTACTTAGAAATTCTCAACTGCGTTTTATTTGATGGAAATGCATCTAACGCATCTTATCCATGTTCGAGACTGGGGTCTCTCTGACGCCATGATGGGCTGTGACGACGAGATTGTCGCATGCTGGTTTGGCAGGTGATTGTCTGTCCTCTGGGTGCCCGACTGGGTAGCCAGGACCTCCGTGCAGTCAGAGCATGGTTTGTGTATTATGTCACCTTGGTTCCTGGCTCTTTCCCCAAAGCCCTCTCTTTTAATGTGGTTCTTTTTGATACAGTTAGAACTTAGGGTAAATTAAGAGTAAATAGTACACATCTTTCAGTGCATGGACTTCATAAATTCTTTTTAGTTTGCTCATGATGTCTTTTTCTTCATAATATCTCTATTGTTGGCTATGTTCTAGATAACTGAGTCTCCAAACTAAGTGATTTTTTTGTGGGTTAATTCTTTGTTCTGGGTGTAAACGGTTGTTTGCTACATCTGTTAATATAACCAGAACATTTCCTAAGACAGAAATTTATCTCTGTATTCCAGCACTGGCTTTTATTCAACCCAACATGAAAATAAACGTTTTAAAGACAATGGGGGAGGGGATGCTAATGTGCATGAATGACGTCTAAAGGCTTAGAGTAAGATTCTTATATAAAACCGGTTTCTCGGTGGTCTAGCTGGAGATTGCAGCAGGAAGGAGGGAGACGAGGGGCCTCACTGCTGATAAATCCTTTAGGGTCAGACAGATTGCTTGGCATAAATATATAAAATATGTATATGTGTATATATGCATATATAAAACATATTTAATCTTCCCCCAAACTTGATAAGGGTGTAAAATTTAACTTACACCCTTTATTTAACTATCTAACTCAGCTATTCCTCTGTGAATCTATCTTGTTATTTTAAGAAAGAGACCATTTTAGAAAAAAATTTTTTAATTGCTTTAGTTTTATTATGACAAAATGTAATTCTCTGAAAATGTCTTAAAAGTCAAGAGACTTGGATTCTAATTCTGAGCATGCTCCTGGCTGGACATGTGACTCTGTCCCCTCTCCAGGCCCCATCTGTAAAAAAAAAAAAAAAAAAAAGGGAAAAACCAGGCGGGTGGGTTGGTGGGAGGGAAGGAAAAGACGTTACCTAAGGTTCTCAGCATGTTGGAATTATATGATTCTGATTTAAGCCTAATGCATTACAACTTCCTTTCCTGGTTAGATATTCATCAACAATGAATGGAACGAATCCAAGAGTGGAAAAAAGTTTGCCACATATAACCCTTCAACTCTAGAAAAAATATGTGAAGTGGAAGAAGGTGATAAGGTGGGTCCCCCCTCCCCCAACCCCCACCGGCCGGTAATTCAATTACAGATAACTAAGGGATGAGGAAGCGCTTTGGCTGAGCTGTGAGACAGAACTGGCCCACACCGGGTCGGACCTGAGCGAGCTGCTTCTCAGACACACGGCCCAGAATGGGATCAATTAGGGACGATCCACTGCAGAGATCACTGTCCTTTGATAGATGTTTCTCTGTCCAGGAGGATGACTTCAGCTGTCATCATCAAGTAGCGAAAGGCAAGGTTTTTATCAATTATTTGAACCTGAAGGCATTAAAGGATCTCTCCAGAAAGCATTTCCGGCTGGTGTGTTTCACCAAATGGCAGGAGACACTTAAAAAGAAACAAAAAAACTTGAAGGAAAAAAACTTGCTGACTAAGTCATGCAGAGTTAATGATGCCAGGGAATTGCCAGATTTCTTTTCTACCAGAAACTTAAATGATTTAAAAAAATAAATAAAAGCTATAGCCTTTATAATGCTATTTGATGGCACAAGGTATATTTTATAAGCTCTATTATATATATATATATTATTATATATTATATGTTATTTTATTTCAGCTATGTTGCATAGAGATTCCTGGATGTGAACGTGATACATTTCAAAGCCATAAAGTATCTTTTGAATATAAATGTCACTGGGGGAAGAATTATAGGAACAGCTTTTGTAAGGGGGGAAAGACAACCTCTCCTCAACCTCTAGAGTACTCACCTGACATTCTTAAGTGTGTAGGTCATGTTGGACATGAACAGGGTGAAGGACACATGTATAAAATAGGCTTGACCTTGGTTCCACCAGCCATAGGTTTGGAAGGCAGCTATGCTCACCAGCTATAGTTTTGTGACGGGTGTGCACAGAGGTTCCTGCGATGCAGACCCTCTCGTGTGCAGCGTCCCATGTGAAGCTCTGTTTACAAAGACTCTAGCACTGAGGAGGGGCTCAGGAGGAGATGTGAGGCCGTGGGGAGGGGTGGTGTGATGCTGAGTAGGATTCATTCCCAAGAATCAGGGAGGAGAGCTAGGTCCCTGCCCTTGGCTCCGGCTTTTCCTGTGGTCTGGGTGACGGCTCCGAGCAGCAGAAGGCAGAGGCTGCCCTGTCCCTGCAGCTGGAGAGGTCATGGCCTCCACTTCAGAGCCTGGGACAAGGAGTTCAAAGTCCTAATATCTCCTTTGCAAAAGCTTTTACTCGCCTCCAAGCATGCTTCAGAAATGCAGAATCTTGGTAGGGTGTCCCTCTTGACTGGTTTCAGGTGTCCACTGCTGGCTGTACACCGCTAAGGAAGAGAGGCTCAGAGGAGCCTGGGGGGTGAGCTGCCGTCCATCAGCCACCAGAGCCTCAAACCCCATTTTCCTGCACATAAAAATGGGTGTCATCACTCTTAATGGCTCTCACTTCTTTCCTAGTACGAAGGTTTGATGGTAATTCTACCAGGGCACAGAAGATCCAGTTCCTTGTCTGTAAAAATGTGCCACAGTTCTGCCCCCAGTGGGGAGGGGAGGTGAAGCTGAAGGCACGAAAAAGTTCCTAATTTTCCCCATCTCTGAACTTTCCATTTATTTTTTATTTCTTTTTCTTTTTTTTCTTTCATTTGGGGTAAAGGTAATTAAGTTTATTTATTTTTTAATGGAGGTCCTGGGGGTCAAACCCAAGACTTCATTCATGTTAACCACCCACTGTCCCACTGAGCTATATACCCTGCCCGCCCCACCCCATGACTATTTTAAAATGCTTGTATAATCAGAAGGAAATGTAATCCTTGGCCATTGAGAAAACTTGAAAAAGACTTCAGATATAAAGAAAAAACTCACGTGAAAGCCCCCAGCCATTCAGGTGCGTTGAACCCTGCTGCCGCTCTCAGCCCACCCGCCACCCCTCCTTCCTCTGCGGCAGGACTCCGCTCTCTCTGTAACTGACAGCGAGCCCTTGGCAAAGGGTGATGCGCTCTCTGCTGTTTTTGGTGGTACAGCCCGACGTGGACAAGGCCGTGGAGGCCGCGCAGGCCGCCTTCCAGAGGGGCTCGGCCTGGCGCCGGCTGGATGCCCTGAGCCGGGGCCGGCTGCTGCACCAGCTGGCGGACCTCATGGAGCGGGACCGCGCCATCCTGGCCGTAAGTACATGCACTCGGGACAGGTGTGGGACCGGCTGGCCTCGCTGAGGGCCTGTTCCCCTCAGGATGTGGGTGAAAGGATCTAGGATGCTGGTTTTGGGTGGCGATGGGTCTGCCTGGTCCTTTGAGGTGTGGCTCTCTGGCGGTAGGCAGATGTCCACAGCCCTGGATTCATCCTTTTGATTTTGAAGTCAGACTTTTGCCACCTGCAACTCAGCTTCTTGGCCAGGAAGTTGCCTGGAGAAAATTCAGCTACATTAGTGGTTCCCAGACTTGAGACACTCCCAAATAACCGGGCTGGGCTAGGGTCCCACCTTCACAGTTACGAACTTAACTTTTTTTCATCCATGAACTCCCTTTAAATTTAAATTTAACCTCATCCTAAAGGACAGTATCTATGAAATCACAGGTTTAATATGCTGATGCCTTTTTAAGACTTATTAAAATAAATGTCACGACTTATCATAGAAAAAGTTTCCCCATATACCTTAAAAATCTCCTGTTTCACCCTTGAAATGCACAGTGATGATTGTGTGTGAAGTAATGGTGAGGGCGAGGTAACCCAGTTATAGGAAATCTCAAAGTATCAAAGACCTTGATTCAAATCCCAGCTTTGCCACTTAACTAGCTGTGTGACTTTGGAGAAGTTGCTTACCCTCTCTTAGCGTATGTTTCTTCATGGAATGTTACTAATAATGATATCTAAGTGTTGTAAGAATGATTCACTTAAAATCCTTAGCTGTCCCTGGCATGCAGTAAGCACTAAATCCATGATACTATTATTAGTAATAGCAGTCCTCATAATAATGCTATCTGAAGAGCCAGGTTCTAACATCAGCTACATGTTCTCCTGGCCGACAAATTTCAGGGTACCTTACTTAGTTCCTCAGCTGCAAAGTGAGGATTTTTATTGAGCCCACTGCGTGTGGTTGGGCTGCTCCCATGAGATGGGCTGTGAAGACATTTAGGAGTTGTACGTGCAGGATTTAAAGGAATCCTCAGACCTTCCTTTGGTCTTGCGGTGTGTGACTGAAGGAAACCTCGGGGCCCCCTTGTGCCTTGAGGTCCTTGGCAGCCTACACATGCAGCCCTCACATGGCCAGGCTCCCGAGTAAAACTTACCCCAGACCTTGAATCCCAGTTGGCAGGGGAGGAAATCTCCTTTTTGGCCTCCAATTTGGAAAATGGTTCTTTTCTTTCTTGATCTGATGTCTGGAATGAGTAGTCCAGGGGAGGGACACCCTTGTGGAGGACAGTGCCAGCCAGGACTCTGAAATTGCTCTGGTCTGTCTTGGGGTGGAGGGTGGAGAAACTCTGCATTTCAGGTGCTGCTTTCTGGTGCATTTCCCTGAAGGCGGGTCCGCGCAGAGAGACCTGCGCCCTCCCTCCTTCCTCTCCAGTTGGCCAGTCCGAAGCTGGCTGAGGGGGCACTCCCTCCCAGGGTCACTGTTTCTCTCCGTGGAGTCTCTGGATTCTTCCCGCAACGAAAGCCAGCCTCAACTCTCAAGCTGCCAAACTGGCTTCTTCAAAAACATTTCTGTTTTCACCCAGCATGAGCTCATCGGTCTGCAATGTCCATGTGGACTAATAGCAGGCGGGAGAGGATGTGCCCTGGGCACCCTCCCCACCCTGTCCTCCAGCGTCAGTACCATCCCGGGGAGCAGCGGCTGCGGGGCCACCTGCCCCTTCCGCCTGCTGGGCTGTCCTGGCGGGACTGTGTACCAAAGCGCACGAGCAAGTCGCCTCTGCCATCGGGACCTCGCTGCCCACAAGAAATAAGACCCAGCTCTTGGCCACATCGTGAAAGGGACGAGAGCATGTCTGGCCAATGCAGTGTTTAAAACCCAGACCACGCCAGAGGGAAGCACACCTCCCTCTCCAGCCTGATAGGCTTTTTCCTGCATTTTCACGCAGCCAAGTGCCTCTTTCCGTCACATTCTCCTCCCAGCGTGGTGGCTCTGATGGAACTGGACATTTACTTCGTGTTCAGTGTTTGGAGATGTGGGGGATCCAGCAGCCCCGGCTTTCTCTCCCTAAATCACCTGGATCAGACGCTGGATCTTTGGGTGCTCATCTGGGGAGCTCCCTGATAGGGGTTGTCCCTCTTTACTCTCTTCTCAAGCTGAGCCCCCACTTCTGGGTCCCGCATTTAAGCCTTGGCACTGGGTGTCCAAGATCACGAACCTACAGCACTTTCCCTTCATTCTTTAGTATCTGAGGGTTACCATGTGTTAATTTTTCGGAAAGCATATTTCCAAAAATGTTAAAGGAAGTAAACTTAGAAACAGCTGTGGTTCACTCATGGTCCAGCCATAGTAATGGTTTAAAAGTTCCAATAAGTGGCCACCATTTGATTTCTCACATTCAGGTCTTTGTCCTCACCTGCGAATCTTTTTTTATCTTTATTTTTTTTAAGAACTTCCTTTCTAAACCTATCGTGACCTGGTTTTGCTTGGCCAGATTCCATGAAACCGACCTGGTGACTTCCTGTTGTCATTCCGGTGAATAAACGGGCCTAAGTTAATAATTAAGATAGTTAGTGCTTGTTGAATGCTCACCAGGAATCAGCCTTGGTGTAGTTACTTGACCTGTAGAATTTATTATCCCATTTCTGTGGCCCAGAGAGGTTAGGTAATCTGTCCTAGGTTACCCAGCCAGAGAAGGTAAGCCAGGACTGGAGGTGGGCAGTGGCTCCAGTGGCTCCTGCACGTCCCCACAATGTCCTGCCCCAGTCCTCTGCCTTTCTCTCCCTGTCCCATCCCTGAAGAGGGTCAAGGATAAACTCCTGGTTCCACCAACAGACATGCAGATGCTTTGTGGAACAGCTGGGCCCTGAAGAATGGTGGCATTATTTGCAAATGCTGGGTTTCCCCTGAGAAACTAAAAGTTCCAATTTGGAAAGTAAGTCAGTAGGAGCCAAAGGTACAGTGTACTGAATGTCATGTTGGCCTGACTTGGCCCCTGAGTAGCACCTGCCGGGGTTGAGGCACACCCCAGACCCAGACCAACTCTATCGTGTTCAGCAACACACAGCCCTGTCTCCTCACTGTCCCCAGATGAGGATTGCCAAGCACCTGTCTGACCCCAAAAGGGAAAATGGTGACAATCATCAGAGCTGTTACTGTCATCATCTGAACAGCGGACGTGGCTCTTACCGTGGGTAGGCACTGCTTTATGTATGTAACTCCTCTAGCCCACACACTAGCCCGATGAGGTAGGCACCATTTATTATTACTATTTTTCACAGATGAGGAAACTGAGGCAGGGAGAGATTCAGGGACTTGCCAAGGCCACCCAGCTAGGAAAGTGATCGCCTCTTGTTCAGAGCATGCCTGGTTCATCCCCAAAGCAAAGATAAAGTAGCCTCAGCTTTTCTCATGGCCGTCCTACAATCCTTCCAGACGCAAACGTCCAGGGGCAGCAGCCTAAAGAGCTGTCCTTCTCTTTAATTCAGTGCCAGCTGTGCCACTGACCCTCTGGGTAACACAGACGAGCCCCTCGGCTCCATGAGCCTCTGCGTCTGCACCTTGAAGTGGGAACAGGGCCGGCCAGCTTGGAGACGAGGCACATGCGGGTGCCCATGGAGGGGCCTCTCTTCCTCTGTAAATTATCATCTCACTCCAGCAACTCTAAAATGAGAATCCTGCCCTGGGCGATGTGTCAGGGTGGCCACTTCCTGCAGAGATGGATGACAGGCGGTTTCAGCACTGGGCTCCACTGGAGCCGCTTGTCTGAGGGACAAAGGGGTTCTCTTAAGCCTGGCTGGAAACAGAAAAGAATCCCTGCCATTGAGCGGCTGCACACTCGCCCTGGGGAATCGCTCGCTGTCAAGGGCAAGCCTGCTCCCTTCCCACTGCGCATCCGGCCAGCAGCCCCTTGCAGGAGGAGCATGCCTTTGTGCTGGTGGCACGACCCTCTGGGGGCTCCGTCACTCTTACCACAGCCACACTGGTCAGTGGGGCCAAGAAGAAAGAACCCGAGTCCCCCTGTCTCTTTTGTTAGAGGAGCCTTCCCCAGCCACCCCAAAGCCAGCTAACCCTGAGACCTTCCCAGGAGCACAGAAACCTACGTGGCCAGGTCCCACAGCCCAGGCAACTGTGCTCCGGAGGATGGAAAACCAAACGCTAAGGCATATCCTTTCCAGCGAGGCTCCACATTAGCCTTGCACCCTCAGTCCCTCCTGGGGACACATGCGCATACTCTGGCAGACCCCCAGATTGAGGTGTTTTGGCCGAAAATCAGCCCTTGACAGGTCGGGGACAGGTCTTTAAATGCTTTCTGAAGAGACCCACGGCTGTGAGGTCCCGAGAGCAATGTCTGAAGGCTCTCTCCTTCTCCCTGCCCATGTCTTTAACAGCCTGATAGTTAAAAGGGAAACTGCGTTTAAAACAGATCTCATCTTGTTATTGCAGACCCTGGAAACAATGGACACGGGGAAGCCATTCCTTCATGCCTTTTTCATCGACCTGGAGGGCTGTATCAAAACCCTCCGATACTTTGCAGGGTGGGCGGACAAAATACAGGGCAGGACCATCCCCACAGGTGAGCCAATGCAGGACTCCCAGCCTTGTCCGGGGTCTCTGGGGGGCTCTGTCTTCTCACTGCTCCAGGTAGCCTCTTCAGAGCGTCCTGAAGCGGTCTTCCCCCCAGAGCATCTTTCCCCGCTCCCGGAAAGAAGCGGCACCGTGCTGATGCTTCCTCTAAAGACCTGTACTTGCAATCAAGTTAAAAATTGCTTCTTTTGGAACAGATAGGACTTAGGGCTGACACCTGGTGGGATTCTGGGTTTCTTTGTCTTTTTTACTACTTAAAATTCTTAACCTAGATCAATGCAAGTGTGTTCTCTCCTTGTAACCTCTCTTCCAGATGACAATGTTGTGTGTTTCACCAGGCATGAGCCCATAGGTGTATGTGGGGCCATCACTCCTGTAAGTATGGTGACTTTTCTAGCTAGAACAGTGTCGATCCCACCCCACTCCCCTGTGGACTTTTGAACCAGTTTCTAGTGTGTTTTGATTTGATGACACCAGCATTAATTGAACATTTGCTCTCTGGCATGGAGTTTGGTGCTTGAAGGTCACCAAGATGGGTTAGACCCCATTCCTGCTCTCAAGGGGCCGACTGCTCCAGGAGTGCAACAGACGACACTGTGGACTCCAACCAGAAGCGTCAGAAATGGCCAGCTCCCCTCGGGCAGTAGCCTCTCAGTTGGGTCTTGAAGGATAAGAAAGAGTTGCTCAACAGGAAAAAGGGTTTTCTGAGCAGTAGGAGTGGCCTGAGTGAGGGTGTGGAAGTGCCTGGGCTACTTGGAAGGACAGCTGGTGAGGTGGGACCTTAGGAGGGGACAAAGTCAGGAAGAGGATGGGCACACATCAGGCGTGCAGGCCCAGCGTCCAGTGCACCGTGGCCACCAAGGGCCCAGGACTTTATTCACTGGGTAGTGGAAGGCTGGCAGGAACATAAGGATGCTGCTGTCAGTTGGAGGACGCCCTGGGCCACTGCAGCAGCTGGGAAGGAGCTGGGGAGGCAGGCGGCAGCGTGGATGGAGGACTGGAAAAGTGCTCTGTGGGAGCATCCAGTTTTGAGAGCCCACTGTGTGCCAGGCGTGGTGCTAGGGTGCTAGGTACTGAAGATGTGAAATGAGAGGGTGGTATCGCCGATAGGTGAGATGGGGAGACTGGGGGAGAAGTAGGTGGGGGTGGAGGACCAAGAAAGGTGAAGGTCATTCCGGGCGGGCAAGGTGGAGGGGTCAACGGAACAGCCAAGCAGCTGGTCTTGTTAGACGCTTGTCTCTTTGAGCCTGGGGCTCAAGAGAGCGGTCAGGGCTAGAGCCACTCATGAGCAATGGTCAGGCCAGAGGAGCTCCTGACCACCAGGCTGGGAGGAGTCACCCAAAGACGGGTGTAGAGTGAGAAAAGAAGAGGGCCTGGGACCGGCCCCATAGACCACCAGGGGGTCCCACTGAGAAGTCTGGGCAGCAAGGGTCAGGGGCCTCCCAGAGACGCAATACGTTTCCAGAAAGAGACTGGTCAGTGGGGTCATCTCCTATCTAGAAATTCAAAAAGACAGAACTGCAGCTGTGAGATGAGCTCCCCAAGAGGAGTGCCAGGGGAATTTGGGTACAGCTGGGGCTGACGGAAGGGGAGCTGGGCACGCGGGCACGGCCCTGCTGGAAGCTGTGAGGGAGAAGAGGTGGAGGCCGGGAGAAGGCGTGGGCTTGTGGGGTAAGAGAGCTGATGGCATTGATGTGGTAAGGAGCGTGGGTCCGGAGGATGGGAGGACCCTCATCACTAGCTGGGGACCCAAAGACAATGCCTACTGTCATTAGCCAAGCACACAGGTCCCCGGGAATGGGGATCTTGTGTTTGTTGTCCAGGGGCAGGAATTCCAGACAGAGCTGGAAGTAGAAATCCAGCTGGCTGTTGGTCAGCCCAGCAGGGGTGGGGCGTCCTTGGAGTTTAAGGAGCCAAACAGACTCTTTGGGGGTGGGTGAGGGGCAGCTGGAATCAGGCTACCTGCACTCTTGGAGAAGCTCGGTGTCATCTCGTCTCATCAAAGATGACAACCGAAGCAGCAGTGTAGCAGAGGACACAAGTCTGGCTGTGAATCCTGGCCGTCGCCTGCTCGTTATGACCTTGGGCCAGTGACTGCACCCCTGTGTGCCTCAGTTCCCCCATTTGTAGATGGGAGGGGTAACCTGACTGCCCCACATGGGTGTGCGGGGATCACTGGAGTTCACTGTTTGGAACGGCGCCTGACACAGTGGACGCCTAGTGGGTGCTAGCGCTTGCTGGGTATAATGTCCCAGCGGTTTCAGTATCCCTGCCTCTGCAGTTGAAGGACCACAAGAAAGTACTTCCCAAGATGAAGGTTATCAAAAGCCATTTGGGGTGGGGTAGGGGGTGGGGGGTTAGTATGTGTCCTATAAGGAAAGAAAGAGACACTGTGGCATCTGAATTAAGGAGCGGTGAGCCTCGTTCCTGCAGAACTTTTCAGAGATGTTAACATGCTGATGGCATTGTGAACCTCCAAGATGAGAAGGTCGTGCATGTACAGCAAAATCCTCTTTGCAATGACCACCTAGTAGCATTGCCCAGAGTGCAGTTTAGGAAGCGCCAGGCAGGAATGCAGTTCTGATTGTTGCACACTCCTATGTTACCTGCTATACCCCACATTGAAATCGTGCAAAAGAAGCGCTTCACCGAGGCACTGCTGGGCCTCTGGGACAGCATAGTGGGTGGACCTGGGCCCCTCAACCCCTCTGTGTTCTGTTGCAGTGGAACTTCCCTCTGCTGATGCTGGTGTGGAAACTGGCACCGGCTCTCTGCTGTGGGAACACTGTGGTCGTGAAGCCAGCAGAGCAGACGCCCCTCACCGCCCTCTATCTGGGCTCTCTGATCAAAGAGGTGAGACGTCCAAACAGCAAATACTATGTGTTCTTGATAACATTCCCACTCCCAGGAGCCAGGCAAGATAAGCTATCACCATCAGCATCGCCATCACCACATAAGCTGCCAGGTCGAGCTGTGCTGTGCGTGACAGTGCCAGCTGGCTCCCGGCTGTGTGGGAGGGGAATGACTCCTGTGTTTCACTTGGCAGCTGCGCTCTCCCTCTCCTGCTTGTGGTCACTGAGCTAGAAGAGACTCCGTTCCTCCCTAATGAGAATACTGAACTCTTATTCTGGGCTCAGACCTGTGGCTTAGGACCAAATGTTTTGTGTAGAGAATTTGCAGGAGGGTCACTTGAGAGCAAGATCCCTGGGGTCCTGTGTGTGTGGTATGCGAAATGGTCCATTCGTCTCGTGGAGGGGGTATCCTGCCAGCCCCTGCTGGAGTGGCTGCCACCAAGCCCTGAGCCTCCTCGCTAATGCTCTGCTCTTGGGTGACTGCCCCACCCCTGGCAGCCACCACTTAGGGAAACAAGCAGCCCAAAGGGACACCTCCTTCCGGACGCACCTGGCAACATGCTTCAGTCTTCTTGTCCCCAACTTATATGTTGCAGAGTTTAACAAAGAAAGAGGAAGAGGGATGGGAGGAAAGATCCGTTCATTTCACTTCTCAGCGGGGCTAATACAACCGGGAAGAAGACCTTTGTTGCTTAGATGTAAAGCCGCAGCAGCCAGTCGGCCAGTTTCCCGCTGTCCTTGCCTTTGGTGGTGGCTGGTCTTTTCTTCTCTGTGATGGAGAGCCTGATGACGTCAGAGTAATGAGACCACCGATTCTAAAGTCACAACTGTTAAAACAGTGTCTAGAAAAACTAAAGACTCAAGCCTCATGGGCTAAAATCTTGCCTTTCTAAAATAATGTGTTTTAAGGAAGACACTGTCGTGTGGGGACCAGCATCGCCCATGTGGTTCATTTGAGGTGTTCTTGGTTAATAACAAAGACCCAGCTTATGCAGAGCACCGGGCGTGGGTGTGAAAGGAATGGCCATCCTGCCTTCGGGATGTGCTGGCTCTGTGCAGCAAGCAGGGAGTTTGAAGGAGTGAGACCGTGCTGCCTTTCGGAACATTAATGGGGCAGATTTAAAAAATGAAAGTTGAAGCTGGAGAAGGGTATTCTGCAGGTGTCTTTGAGCCTTGGAGGCTGTGACCAAGGTGGCCCTTCTCCCCCAATACACAGACAGACATACACTCACACACACACATACACGCACACACACACACAGACCCATACAGACAAATATGCATACACAGAGATACAGACACACAGACACAGATACATGCACACGGACACACACAGACACACAGAGACACACACACAGACACACACACAGACACACACACAGACACACACACAGACACACAGACACAGACACACAAAGACACACACACACACACACACACACACACACACAGGATGGCGCTCTGCTACGAAGGGCCACTGCCATCTGACTCAGAAGTCCCTTGGGGTGGAGGTGCCGTCTGGAAGGAGAGTACACACCTCACCCAATCTGCAACTGGCCACCTGAGTCTGGGTCCTGGGTGGATGGAGGACCCAGGCCCAGGCTTCCTGGGGCTCGGGGACATCACACAGCCACAGCACTCCTGGCCCAAGCCTGGGTCTGCCGTGGTCGCTGGTCCTTTCTTCTCTGAGATGCCATCTCGGCTTCCTCGTAGGTGGGATTCCCTCCGGGCGTGGTGAACATCGTGCCTGGATTTGGGCCCACGGTGGGAGCTGCAATTTCTTCTCACCCTCAGATCAACAAGATAGCCTTCACTGGGTCCACAGAGGTAACTCTCCTCACCAGCCATGGACAAAAGTGACCATCGCTGGGAACTTTCCCTTTGAAAGGCTAAACTGTGGTGTATTACCCATCTGAGTATGTAACAATCAGTTACAAAAAAAAGTCACTGGCCCAGTTTCCAAACTAAGTAAATACCGAATTTATTTATTCAGAAGCCTCAGAAGAAAAGATGGGTAGATGAGATAAAATTAAAATGTCAAACATCCGCAGGACAAATAATACAATCAAGGTTAAAGATAAACCTAAGGCAATGAGCTGTATTACAGAGCCGACCACAAATTCAAAGTGCAACACCTTCCATTCAGCAATTCCACTTTGAAGCAACTACTTAGAGAAATGTTCTCACAAGCGTTCTAGAACATATTTTCCAGTGTGTTATATTTGTCCTGTGTGATGTTTTACAGTCTATACAGTAAGGAAAGCAAGCCATAATCTTTTGGGGGTTTTTTGAGTGGTTTTCCTTTTATTTTGCATCTATGAGACCATTCAACTTGTGTTTCTAAGACTCATCATTTTCATTCTAAGATTCAATATGTTGCATAGATATTTCTGTTAGGACATCCTTCTCACCAATGGCTAGGTTATATTCCACTCCATACTGCTGTGAATGTAGCAGCAGTTACACCGATCAGCTTTTTCTCTAAAAACATTGTTTGTTTGTTTTGGGGGGGTATAAGTTCTTTTAATTTTTTTATTTTTTACTGACGTATAGTTAATTTATTTATTTTTGTTGTTTTTTATTGACTTATAGTTAATGTTGTGTTAGTTACAGGTATACAGCAAAGGAAGTCCGTTATACACATAAATAGATATTCTTTTTCATATTCTTTCCCATTATAGGTTATTACAAGATATTGGATATAGTTCCCTGTGCTGTACAGTAGATCTTTATTGTTTATCTGTTTAATATATTGTAGTGTGAATATGTAAATCTCAGATTCCTAATTTATCTCCCCTGCCACTAGCCACTTTGGTAACCATAAGTTTGTTTTCTATGTCTGCGAATCTGTTTCTGTTTTGTAAATAAGCTCATTTGTATAATTCTTTTAGATTCTACATGGAAGTGATATCATATGATATTTGTCTTTCTCTGTCTGACTTACTTCACTCAGTATGATCATCTCTAGGTCCATCCATGTTGCTGCAAATGGCATTATTTCATTCTTTTTAAAGGTTGAGTAATATTCCTGTGTGTGTGTGTATGTGTGTGTACACACATACCACATCTTCTTTATCCATTCATCTGTTAATATTTAGGTTGCGTCCATGTCTCGGCTATTGTAAATAGTGCTACTATGAACATTGGGGTGCATGTGTCTTTTCAAATTAGAGTTTTCTCTGGACATATGCCCAGGAGTGGGATTGCTGGATCATATGGTATGTCTATTTTTCATTTTTTAAGGAGCCTCAGTATTGTTCACTATAGTGGCTGCACCAACTTACTGTTCCCACCCACAGTGTAGGAGCGTTCCTTTTTCTCCACACCTTCTCTAGCATTTATTATTTGTAGACTTTTTAATGATGGCTATTCTGACTGGTGTGATGTGATACCTCATTGTATTGTAGTTTTGGTTTGCATTTCTCTAATAATTAGCAGTACTGAGCATCTTTTCATGTGCCTGTTGGCCATCTGCATGTCTTCTTTGGAGAAATGTCTATTTAGGTCTTCTGCCCATTTTCTGATTGGTTGTTTGGGTATATGTATATGTATGAGATGTTTATATAGTTTGGAAATTAGTCCCTTGTCAGTCATATCATTTGCAAATATTTTCTCCCAGTCCATAGTTTGTCTTTTCATTTTGTTTATAGTTTCCTTTGCTATGCAAAAGCTTTTAAGCTTAACTAGATCCTATTTGTTTACTTTTGTTTTTATTCCCATTACTCTAGAAGATGGGTCAAAAAAAATATTGCTGTGATTTACATCAAAGAGTGTTCTGCCTATGTTTTCCTCTAGGAGTTTTAGAGTATCTGGTCTTACATTAGATCTTTAATCCATTTTGAGTTTATTTTTGTATATGGTGTTAGTGAATATTCTAATTTTATTCTTTTACATATAGCTCTCCAGTTTTCCCAGCACCACTTATTGAAGAGATTTTCTTTTCTCCATTGTGTATTCTTGCCTCCTTTGTCATAGACTAATTGACCATAAGTGTGTGGGTTTATTTCTGGGCTTTCTATCCTGTTCCATTGATCTATGTGTCTGTTTTTGTGCCAGTACCATACTGTTTGGACTACTGTAGCTTTGTAGTATAGTCCGAAGTCAGGGAGCATGATTCCTCTAGCTCTGTTCTTCTTTCTCAAGATTGCTTTGGCTATTCAGGGTCTTTCGTGTTTCCATACAAATTTAAAATTTTTTTGTTCTAGTTTTGTGAAAAATGTCATTGGTAATTTGATAGAGATTGCATCGAATCTGTAGATTGCCTTAGATAGTATGGCCATTTTAACAATATTGATTCTTCCAATCCAAGAACACAGTATATCTTTCCATCTGTGTCATCTTCAGTTTCTTTCATCAGTGTCATAGTTTTTGCAATACAAATCTTTTGCCTCCCTAGGTAGGCTTATTCTTAGATATTTTATTCTTTTTGATGTGACAGTAAATGGGATTGTTTCTGTAATTTCTCTTTCTGATATTTCTTTGTTAGTGAATAGAAATGCAGCAGATTTCTGTATGTTAATTTTGAATCCTGCAACTTTATAAAATTCATTGATGAGCTCTAGTCGTTCTCTGGTAGCGTCTTTGGATTTTCTATGTATAATATCATGTTGTCTGCAAATAGTGACAGTTTTACCTGTTTGTTTCCAATTTGGATTTTTAAAATTTGTTTTTCTTCTCTGATTGCTGTGGCTAGGACTTCCAAAACTATATTGAATAAAAGTGGTGAGAGTGGGCATCCTTGACTCGTTCTGATCTTAGAGGAAATACTTTCAGCTTTTCACCATCAAGTATGAGGTTAGCTGTGGGTTTGTCATATATGGCCTTTACTGTGTTGAGGTATGTTCCCTGTATGCCCACTTTTTGAAGATTTTTATCATAATGGATGTTGAATTTTATCAAAAGCTTTTTCTACATCTATGAGATGATCATATGACTGAAAGTGAGGGGATGGAGAAAGGTATTCCACGCAAACTGAAATTTTAAAAAGACAGAATAACAATACTTTATCAGACAAAATAGACATTAAAATAAAAACTGTTGTAAGAGACAAAGGACAGTACATAAGGATCAAAGGATTAATCCAAGAAGATAGAACAATTGTAAATATATATGCACCCAACATAGGAGCACCTCAACATATAAGGCAAATGGAAACAGACATAAAAAGAGAAATTGACAGTGACACAGTAATAGTGGGGGACTTTAACACCCCACTTACACGATGGGCAGATTATCCAGACAGAAAATCAATAAGGAAACACAGGCCTTAAATGACACATTAGACCAGATGGACTTAGTTGATATTTATAGAGCATTCCATCTGAAAGCTGGAGAATACATATTATTTTCAAATGCACATGGAATATTCTCCAGGATAGATCACATACAGGATCACAAAGCAAGCCTCAGTAACTTTAAGAAAACTTTTTTAAAAAAACATCTTTTCTGACCACAAGGCTATGAGGCTAGAAATCAACTACAAGAAGAAAAAAATTTTTTGAAAAAACCCACAAACACATGGAGGCTGAACAACCAATGGGTCATTGAGTAAATTAAGGAAATCAAAAAATACCTAGAAACAAATCAGAACAAGAACATGGCAGTCTAAAACCTATGGAATGCAGCGAAAACAGTTCTAAGAGGAAGTTTATAGCAATACAAGCCTACCTCAGGAAACAAGAGCAATCTCAAATAAACTACCAAACCTTATGCCTAAAGCATAAGTTCCTGGGGCCTAAAGCAACTAGAGAAAGAAGAACAGACAAAACCCAAAGTTAATATAAGGAAACCAGAAATAAATGAAATAGAGACTCAAAAAACAATAGAAAAAGTCAATGAAACTAAAAGCTGGTTCTCTGAAAAAATAAACAAAATTGACAAACCTTTCGCCAAATTCATCAAGCAAAAAAGGAAGAGGGCCCAAATCAATAAAATCAGAAATGAAAAAGGAGACATTACTACCAACACCACAGAAATACAAAGGATCATAAGAGACCACTACAAGGAACTATATGCCAATAAAATGGACAACCTGAAGAAATGAACAAATTCTTAGAAAGGTATAATATCCCAAGACTGAACCAGAATGAAATAGAAAACATGAACAGACCGATTACCAATACTGAAATTGTATCAGTTATTTAAAAACTCCCCCAAAACAAAAGTCTAGAACCAGATGGCTTCACAGGTGAATTCTACCAAATGTTTAGAGAACAGTTAACACTTATCCTTCTGAAACTATTCCAAAAAAATTGCAGAGGAAGAAACACTTCCAAATGCATTCTATGAGTCCACCATCACCCTGAAACCACAACCAAAGATATGACAAAAAGAAAAAGAAAAAAGAAAATCACATGATCTATTGTTGAAGCACAAAAAAGCAAACTATAGGAAGGCAACAAGAATATTGCCTCACAGCTTTGTAGTTAAAAGTTCACAGGAGAATTCAAACTGTTTAAAAAATAATCTATTTGTTAGTGGACAAATAGACTATACCTTTGAAGTTCCAAACTCCTACTTGGGTATCTTTGTAGCTTCAGAGTTTGAAGCAATAAGGGGAGGCAAGAGAGAGAAGAATAGTAAAATATGGTTACAGCAGTGGACCTCTCAAAGCTGGTGAGAAACATAATTTCCTCACTTTTCTTTTCCTTGCTGTTAAAAAAAACTTTTAAACATAACAATCTAAAAGATATTGACTGGATAAAGAAGTTGTGGTATATTTATACAATGGAATACAACTCAGCCATCAAAAATAATAAAACAATGCCATTTGCAGCAACATGGATGGCCCTGGAAATTGTCATTCTAAGTGAAGTAAGCCAGAAAGAGAAAGAAAAATATATGATATCACTCATAGGTGGAATCTAAAAAAAAAAGACAAATGAACTTATTTATAAAACAGAAACAGACTCACAGACATAGAAAACAAACTTATGGTTACCAGAGGGGAAGGGCGTGGGAAATTCAAATTGGGAGTTCAAGATTTGCAGATACTGACTGGTATATATAAAATAGATAAACAAGTTTATACTGTATAGCACAGGGAACTATATTTGGTATCTTGTGGTAGCTTACAGTGAAAAAGAATATGAAAACGAATATATGTATTCATGTGTGACTGAAGCACTGTGCTGTACACCAGAAATTGACATAACATTGTAAACTGACATTCCTAAATTTTAAAAAAAAAGTAAAAGATTTTTTTTTTAAAAAAGTATATACAATAAGATCCCATTGGTAAAAATGTGTGTTTAGAGAAATAGAAATTGCCTGGAAGGACTCACAAGAAATTCTTACTGTGGCCACCTCTGCGGCAGGTCCTGGGGCACAAATGGGGTGAGGGGAGGTGAAAACTTTCTTCTTTAATTTAAACATATCTGTGTATAATTATTTTAGAAATATTTCTATGAGACAGTATTTCTTCTGTACTTAAAAAAGAAATGAATCAGGCTCCCCTGGCAGTAAGTGTCCCCATCTCCTCCCTAGCTTAGTCCAGCTGGGAGCCTAAGCCCACCTGCGGCGGCTGCTGGACAGCATCACCACCACCCTCCTTTGCCCACCAGGATGAGCGTTGTCAGCGAAATGTAGTCAGAACCAGATTGGCTGGCAGTTCTCTGCTCACCGAATGGAGCAGCAGCAGCTCCACGCCTGGCTCGGTGGCCAGGAGACGAGGGATGGAGAGGCAGAGAGGCAGCAGGTGTGGCTCCTACCCTCCAGCGTCTCCCACATCTTCCCAGTCTTCTCACCCAACAGCAAAAGCATCCCTGCCCCTGCCCTGCCCGGCTTCCCTCTCTAGGCCAACATAGGGCTGCCCGGGGGTCCAGCTGGGTAGGGTTCCCACCGGGCAGCCAGCCTCCTGCACAAGAAGTGGCTTTTGTGACCCAGGGATTGCTCACCAGGCAGGCATCTCCATAACGGGTACTTCCCATTGAGGGCCTCCGGCTGTGCCGGCTGTCAGAGCCGCACCTCAAGCCCACCAGTGATGGCTGGCCCCTGGCAGGGCGGTCTGCCTCTGCTGCTCCCCCAGGGAAGGTTCTTGTCACAGGGGTCTACCCCACACCTCGTTCAGGCCATCCCCTAAGAGCTGGCTGTGTTTTCAAATGCACTTTCACCTTAGTTTTGGACAAACAGCTTCAGTCCTGGATGAGCCCAGCTCTGCCTCCTGCTGGCCGTCTGGCTCTAGGCCCCCTGTATGCACTGGGCTCTGAGAGTCTTCCAGCTCTAAACTGGTGGCGCCAGCCCAAGACAAGTGCCTGCCTTGTGCTGGGCCAAGCCCGCCTCTGGCTGTGTGGCGGATGACAGGACAGACCCTTCAGGTACATGCGGGAGGTGTGGTAAATGGTCCTTCGGTTGCTTTACAGCAAAGCTGTGGTCTCCCTACCCCCTGGGGGCCTCAGGCTTAGGGTGTGTTTCCCGAGAACTGGTTCCCTCCCACCCTGAAGGTCAGCTTCGCTATTTCCCTAATTCTCCGAGGTTCCCTCAGATTATATCAAAGGGTCACACAGAAACCACCTTCCCTTGGTCCCCTGAGCTGGACCAGCCTGCTGCTGGGAGGGACAGGTGAGGAGCCAGCTCCACCACTAGTCAGCTGTGTGGCCGTGGGCAAACTACTGGGCCTTCGAAGGCTCCATTCCACTCCTGTGTGAGGAGCGGCTCAGGCTAGGAATCCAGCTGTGTCAAGGTCTGATCTGAGAGGGGATGCTGGAGAGGCCAGGGGAGTGAGGAGGCGGCATCCAGGCACAGATGCCTGGGCAGAGAGGCAGGGGCCCAGGTCATGGCAGCACTCTTGCCGCCCCGGTTTGCCCAGAACATTTGGGCCACTTTGGAGCCACATCTTGCCACATCTGAGGTTTAATCTGGTCTGGTTTTTATCCTGAAGGTTGGAAAGCTGGTTAAAGAAGCCGCCTCCCGGAGCAACCTGAAGAGGGTGACACTGGAGCTTGGGGGTAAAAACCCCTGTATCGTGTGTGCTGATGCCGACCGTGAGTCTCTCCCCTTCTGGGCGTTCACTGGGGCTTTAGGTGATCCAAAAATCTTTCCTTACCCAGATCAGAACCAACTGAGAAAGACATACACACATATACGCAGATACACACATACACTCAGACACACACACACACACACACACACACACAATGGGGATGTTTTCCACCTTGGGTCATCCTGCCATAAATAACTGGCAGATAGAGACCCTCACTCCAGCATCATCTGCTGGCAGACAGCTGTGGTGGAAGAGGACATGTTTTACACGGGAGCCAGAGAGGCTGCCTGTTTCTGCCATTCAAGTTTAAGTTTACCTTCCCCGTCCTTGCACAGCTAGGGACATGACAAGCAGTCTGGAGTCTTCTCCAGGGCCCCCTATGCAGAGGGAAGGCCAAGAGAAGGAGGAGCAGGGCAGTGCCCCCGCTCATAGGCATTCAGCGCTCTCCCCTCTGAGTCAGTACTTCCTATGGGACTTGCAGAATTGAGGTGTTTCTTCCTTCTTCATCTCAGACCTGGTAAATCAGAGGCCAGCATTGGCTGACCCTTAAAAATATCCCACTGGCCTGAGTACTGTCTCTCGTTCCATCACCTCTTCCCTGGGAAAGCAACCATGCCCAGCAGCTTGTGGGTGGTCTGTGTCTTGCTAGAGCCTTAGGACACAATATTAAAATAGATGCTATTCTGTGTCCAGGAGAGAGAAGAAAGGGTCACACTGAGTATTCATTGGCCTGCTAACAGGTCAGCTGTCAAAAGGTATGGCTTCCCAAGTTCTCTGAAGCACCTGTGCCTTAAAGAACAGAACACCCCCACCTGCCCACTGGTGCCAGGAATCACTTTCATGGGGTACAAAGTCTTCCATTCTACACTCAGATAAGGTTGGAATTGCAAATATCCCTGGGAAAAACGACCCTTGCACAATTTCTCGCTAAGGTGTAAATGACTGATAGCAGTTCTTCTCCTTGAAGCTGGCATTCAATGGGAGAGAGGACTGGATGAGAAAACAAGTGCCAGGGAAGGAAAGGGAGGCTGGGTGGGAAAATGGACCGCTCATTTTTTGCTTAAGTTGGTGTTCCCTAATAGAAGCGTCATCAGTGTTGCTAATGGTCTCTGGAGCCACATGGAGCAGTTCTGGGTGTGGCCCCTCTGTCACCCACATCTGGAGTTCCAAACCCCAACCCCAAAGAGCCAGGATTCCGGTTTTGCATTCTTATGCCTCCGTATGTGGGTGCCCCTTCTACACCTCAGCTCTTTCCCTCCCAGCGAGGGAAACTGCAGCTAAAATACAGGACTCCTGTCCGAGGGTCAGTTTGACAAGGATCATAAACACCCTCTGTAGCCGTCTCCTACTCCTCAGCCGGGCAGGGCCAGCCCACAAAATTAAATCCTGACATAAACTGGCATCTCAGGCATGATATCAACAGTAACACGCCACCATCCCTCGACACCGCAGCTGCCACCCCGGGCTCCAGTCAGGGTGCAGGAAATGAATTAGTTACTTTGGAGGAGGGGCAGTTTGAAGTTGGCACAGAGAGGATGGGGGTTGCAGGGAAGGGCAAGTCGCTGTGTCATAGCGACTTACACAGAAGACCTTGCCGGGTAACAACGGCCTGGTTCGCAAAGCCAACGGCAGTGTTCCTCGGAGCCACCCGCGGAGCAGGGCTGGCTGTTGGTGGATCACCTGTGCACATGCAAAGGGCCCGTGCTCTTGTTCTTGGTGAAGGAAAGCTGCATTTCTTAAGCTAGCAGTGGCGTTAGGGGACAGGCGGGGCTGAGAAGCCCCTCAATGAATGCAAATGACACCCCACTTAGTGTTCGTATCCCTCAAGCACGTCCCCAACCATCTCTCTTCCTAAGCACCCTTCTAGTTCAGTTTGTGTAACTGGTTTTAACTCCGTGTCAGCTCTACAAGGCAGATTCAGCCTTTGTCAGGCAGAATCTGCATCTTTTTTTTAACCCTTATAAGTCATACATAGTGTTGCTACTTAATGAGATCCGATCTTCTTTCACTCAAGGTGGACAGTTTTGGCCCCTTTAAGAATTCTCGGTGGGGAGGGTATAGCTCAAGTGGTGGAGCGCCTGCTTAGCATGCATGAAGTCCTGCATTCAATCCCCAGTACCTCCTCTAAAAATAAATAAATCTAGTTACCTCTCCCCCACCAAAATAAAAATACTTAAATAATACAGTAATAAAAAAAATTTCTCACCAACTGGCCGCCATCAGTACTTATCAAAGGTTATTCTATAGAATATTAGTTTCCAGAAATGGGAGGGGAGGGATCCATGGACAAGTGAGGTGGGGAATGTGACAAGTCTCTGTGCTCGTTAATGCAGTAAGGACACTGAGAAGTCCTGCAGTCAGGGGACCCACTTAACCCCAGAGTCGGTGGACCCAAAAATCCGCTCTCTGTTTGGGAAATGCTGAGCGAAATTAATTTCTGAAATGCAGCCATCCCAGGGCCTGTTTTCTCGTGTGGGCAATTAGAGTTGCAGCTGTCGCCAGTCCGGCCCTAACGACTTAATCGCTTCCTCTCCCCCCACCGTCCCCTCCCTCCAGTGGACTTGGCAGTGGAGTGCGCCCATCAGGGAGTGTTCTTCAACCAAGGCCAGTGCTGCACGGCCGCCTCCAGGGTGTTCGTGGAGGAGCAGGTCTACGGCGAGTTTGTCAGGCGGAGTGTGGAGTACGCCAAGAAACGGCCCGTCGGAGACCCCTTCGACGTCAGGACCGAACAGGGGCCCCAGGTAACCTACTGAGGTGTCAGAACCACGGTGCACGTCGCAGGGCTGGACCTGGCAGGCCGCTGACCTGGCCCTGTACAGCTCTGGTGCTCTGTGATTCCAGGGTCCCGCTCGAAGCAAGGACCCCCTTGCTGACTTGCCTGGCCACTGGAGGCTTTTTTTCATACGCTGATCAACAGTCCAGTCCTATCAGGTCTTGACAGGGTTATGAAATGGCGATGGTCACACAGAGGCTCTGCTCCTTGCAGCAGATAATGCTGGGCCTTGGCAGAAAGGAGGCATTCCTTGTTCATAAGCCAATGTACCTGTCTGCATCCAGCCCGAGGACTGTCCCTCCTCTGAGCCACCAAGGTCCCCAGGAGAGCACCTCGGGCAGAGGCTGTCCTCTCTGGCCGGCCGCCCCGCAGAAGCGGGTTGTAACCCTGGTTGGAAGGTATCAGCATGTAGGTGGTCTCAACCTGGAGGCCCTCGAGCCCACATGTGTTATAGGACAAGGTGACAGTCAGAAACCAAATAATCTCCATGGAAAGGGCTCGGAGGATGGGGCAGTGGGAACACATCTCTGGAGGCCTGGTTTTCAAAGCTAACGTCAGGATGAAAATGCTCATAACCACGAGGTTTAATAACCTCTTTAAAAGGGCACATCCTGTATCACTTTCTTACTAATTATGCACTGCGGCAGATGGATAAATATTTAAAAGACGGCAGCCTGGCCATCCCATGCATTATTGAAATGGAGCTCGACAGCAACCCACTTTGCTTGTAGCCAAAGTCCTGTTCCAGCCAGGAAGTTTCAAATCACATGTCAGGACTCACCCACTGGTGTCTGTCCCAGGAGCTGGCGGCTTCCCCACTGAGTTGGCACCATGTGTTTACTCGGGAAACCATGGATTCTGAGAGCAGGTTTGGCTCTGTGATTTTGTGAAAGCCACAAGCTCCTTCCAAACCTCAGTTTCCTCATCTGGAAAAGAGTAACTGTGAATATTATGAAAATTGCACTGCACCTAATTTATTTAAGAGGGGGGAGCATGAAATGGCAGGCTCCCCGATCTGGATGGCCGCGTCGATTGGGTCTTACTTGACCATACTCTGGAAACACCCTGGCTGGGGAGGAGGGAGGACCACGTGGAAAAGGTGTGTTTCTGGCCACGGTGCCCACCCTTGCCTTGGCCCAGCCCACATGCTCTACGGCTCTGATGCCATGTGACCCTGGTGGAGAGAAACATTTCCGCTTGTGGCCAACACTCCCCATCCCGCCAGGACTCAGCTCCAAACCCAGCGGCCAGTGACAAAAAGTTGTCTAGTGGCCTTGGTTGGAGTTCAGGTTTGCATACAAACACGACCACAAGTCATTATCATATCTGCTGTGATTGTAAAACTAATCTGGAATCTGTGGGAAATATGTGAGCTGATCCCGTACGAAGGAATCTCTTCTGCTCCATCAGTCATTTGTAAGTCTCTTTCCAAGGCGTCAGGCTTGACTTCTGAGGCCAGATATAGGAATCTCTTCCAAGAGAGCAGATCCAGGCAGAATGGTGTTGATTTCATCAGTGCTTTTGATGCCGCTGCCGAACGTCCTTTTGAAAATTCACTTAAGCCTTCTAACCTCAGCATGTTATTCTAGGATTCTGTTGGGTTTTTTTTCCCCCTCTCAAAGTGCTTTGTCATCTACGTTAATAAGATTCTACTCTGAGAGGATTTACAGCTGTCTAAATAGTCCTGTCTGTCTCATGCCTGTAAAACAGCGAGCTGACCTAGATCTGAGTCCACTACAGGCAGTTGATGATCAGAATGCCCCAAAATCATTCAGGTTTATTTGGCAACGGAGCAAAGAGGCGCTCAGACCTCGTGCAGGCCACCTGGCAGGGGGCCGAGTCCCGCATCCTCTTGGGCAGAGCCACGCGCAGCCTTTGGCCATCCTCGGGCTGTGTTTCTCTGGCTCTAGTGCCCCTCGGCCGTCACTTTCCAGCAGGTTCTTCTCTTGCACTGTGAGGCACCAGCTGACATTCATGGAGGATTATTAGATTTAAACAATGTGTTCACAGGGACTTGCCAGGGAGAGTTGAGTCTGGGCGGGTAGCGTTTCCATGGGGACCCAGCACGGCCTGCGGGGCAGAGCATGGTCAGCGGTCACTCAGAGCCTGTAGTTAGATAAAGCCTCACTAGCCTCACTAGAGGAGGAAAGAATAATCCTGGCACTTTTAACCCAGGACTTGGTTCACCCGGAGGGAAGTTGAGGGAACCCTGAGATATTACTGGATCAGTTGCAGTTGGAATTGCTTTTTTAGGTGGGAGCACGTACATATGGTCAAAACCCAAAACACATATAAAGGGTCAATAGTGAAAAATTCCCTTCCATTCATTCACAGGCATGGTTACCCATCCCTCTATGGGAACCTTAGGTTCTTAGTTCTTAGAAGAAATTTCTCCAGCATTTCTTTAAGTAGATACAAGCAAGAATGAAGATGTATTCTGATTTCCCTTGTTTTTACCCAAAATGTCTATACACAGAGCTGTTGTGCACCTTGATTTTTGTCCACTAACAAGAAACTTTTGAAGAGCTTTCCATAGCAAACCATAGGAACCTGCCTTGTTCTTTTTTTAATACGTACCTAGAATTCCACCGTATGAATCCACTAGAATCCCAGTAACACGTTCTGATGAGGGCGTGTGTGGTTGTGCACGGTGCCGCAGAGTATGTCATTCCACACACTTGCGAGGAAATCCATGGGTCAGACTCCCCAAGTGCGTTTGCTGAGTGGGAGCACCTTCGTAATTTCTGTAAGTGTTGCCAGATTACCTTCCAAGAGGATGAACCACGATATGTTCCTACAAGCCTCCAACCTTACTAATGGAATATGGAGTGTTGCCCATCTGATAGTTCAAAATGGTATCTCATTTGTTTTTAACATGTGTGTATCTCTTATAAGGCAAAACATCTTATCATATGTTTAAAGGCCATTTGTATTTCCTTTTCTATCAACTGTACAGGTACTTTGCATATTTTTCTCTTATATAACAGGTCATTTTTTTCAGTTTTCAATATTTTTAATAATTTATTGATCATTTTTAAAACCACTTCTAAGCACTTTTTACATACTAGAGATTAGCTCTATTTCTGTGGTATGACTTGTCAGTTTTTTCCCATTTGTTGTTTTGCCCTTTGCCTTTGCATATGATGTTTTTGCCTTTTTTTTTTTTACATACTCACATTTATCATTCTTTCCTTTTTGGCTTCGGGATTTTAAGCCATAAAAAGGCCCTCAGCGCTCTAAATTCATGGAGGGGTTCTCTCAGATGAGAGAATTTGGAAGCTTTTATGCTTTCATTTCTCATGGTTAAGTCTTTGATCTGTTTGGATTCTATCCTGATAAAAGATGTGAAGAATGGATCCAACAGTTATATTTTAACACTGGATCCACATTTTATGAGATGAAGGTCAAGGGGCGTACTTGGTTTGCGCCAGCTCTTCTGAGAAAGCCAGCCTGCTCCTCTGGGACAGTCATCCAAATGTGGCACTGAAGTTAAATCTGCTTTTAAAAAAGTTTTCCTGTCTGAAAATCTCAGCTACAGCAAACCTATCAAAGAATAGGCCTCCTATGGACTTGGGGAGAAGGACCATTTCAGGTGGAGAGAGCGCTTCCCGCCTAGAGCACAGTCTCCCAGAGAGGTGCCCTTTGACAGCTGGTTGAGTACCATGTCCACAAGCTGGGTGTTGGACTGGTGGCACCGGGCACAATCCAGCCCGGGAGACCCCTGGACAATGTGGCAGAAGGTGGAGCCCTTCTGATGAGCTGGCTCCCCACCAACCAGGGGACGGCCCCTCCACCCCACCTCGAGCCTCACTCTCTTCTGTTTCCAGAAGGGCTTCTCACTTCTCCTCTGCACCATGGACAGAGAATTCTAGTAACTGTCACCCTGGTGCCCTGTGAGCATGGTACAGTCTTGCCAGATAAAATACATGACACCTGGTTGGAGTTGAAGTTCAAATAAACATGAATATGTTTTTAGCATAAGTGTCTCCCAAGCATTGTTTGGGATGTGCTTATGCTTTGAAAAAAACCACTTTTTAAAAAAAATTTAAATTTAACTGGGCTTGCTGTAGTTTTATTTGCTAAATCTGGCAAGCCTAGCAGGATGCAAGAGTTAAGAGAGCAAAGAATGGGACTACTTCAGATCTCCCATGCATTTGCTTGACAGCTTGGAATGGGTCAGACGTGTGATTAAACCCCACACCTGGAGAGGGTGAGAAAAGCCCGTCTCTCCTGCTCCAAAGAGCCCAGATTTGTGCATCAGAGGAATGTTTGCATACAAGGCACATCTGTTCTGTGAATTATGTCTTGGCCAGAACATCGGGGGTAGGACAGCTGATCACACAGGTGGCCGTTGGACACAAAAGCTGATGGCCATGGCCCCGAAGGAAACCAGGCTTACCTCTCGCTGTTTTGCAGATTGACCAAAAGCAGTTCGACAAAATCCTGGATCTGATCGAGAGTGGGAAGAAGGAGGGAGCCAGGCTGGAATGCGGGGGCTCGGCCCTGGAAGACGGGGGGCTCTTCATCAAACCGACTGTCTTCTCAGAAGTGACCGACAGCATGCGGATTGCCAAAGAGGAGGTACTGGGGCTGCAGGAAAAATTATGTCCCGTGGGGCCTTGGACCAAGCTAGGAGCCCGAGGGCTGAGGGAAAGAATGGTGGGGTCTTTCAAACACGAATCTTCTCCAGCACCCGGGGACCCCAGAAGTCTCTGTGAGGGGAGCGTTTTCCTTTTTCCGGGGACTTTGCCCCTCTCCTGAGGGGTCCTTTGGGAAGCCGTCCTGCGCCTGGGTACCTCAAGCACCGTTAAACGGTGCAGAGTTTGTCCTAACCCCCATTTTCACACGTTACTCACCGCCTCCGGGGAGCAACAGTCTCTTTTCTGTCTTCTAACACTTCCTTGGGTTAGCCGAGGGTGGAGGGCTGTTGCCACTTGGGGCTTTTGCCAGGAATCAAGCCACAAATTCGGGGCCCAAAGCTACCTTCAGTCCCCCCAAGACTGAACTCAAATGACACGCGTTCATTCCAAAAACTTGTCAGGGCTAGAAGTCTCTCAGAGGTTTTCCATTATGGGCACCCTTGAAAATAGTGGAAATTAAGGAGACACCCCCCCCCTTAGGAGTGTAATTCTAACCGTGTCTTTCGGGGCCACTGGTAAGCTGGACGGTCCCAGGTGCTTGGACCCTAGGATATGGTCTTTTGGGGCACATGAAGAAGTGAATCACTGCCAAAGGCTTCCTGGTTCAGGCCTTTTACAGACTTTCTCCTTGAGATTTTTATGGGTTACTAACTGTTCCATGATGGCATGAGACTCAGCTCTTTAAACCTCCCTATGCAAGCTCTCTGGGAACCAGGGAAGGTGTTTCAGCAGACTGACACCATCTCCCTGGGTTACTGTGCCAAACATTGAATCATTTATCAGCTCCTCTCAAAATTACCTTTAAATGTTCAGCCTGTAGCTCTTTCTTTTCCTTTCCTTCCCTTTCTTTTCCTTTGCTGTGCTGTAGACTGGGAGGAACACTGTCTCATTATTAGGAAAACATTTTAGGTGACCTTCATTGATAGAAAATGCAGCACCAAGAGATCGGGGCACACAGCCCTACAGCTGCAAACATCCTTCGCAATAGCTTTTCAAGAAAAACTTCCAAGATTTTGTCTTCTGTGTGTCCCGGTGTGGAGGGAGCTCCTTTAAGGCTCACGGCTGGGGCTTCTCAGAAGCCCTGATGCCAGTGAGAGGGCTTAGACCCAACATATCTTTTGGTTGTTATTTTTAATTTTTGTTTAATTTAATCTTTCCCTTTGGATTTCAGCCATCACACAGCTCAAAAACCTCTGGACTTTCTCTCTCTTCCATCACCCTTTCCGTGTGTGTGAGCAATTTGGGTGTACAAAAAAGGCACAGCACAGAGGAAAATGCCTGCCCAGAGCACACATGTTTCATTTGAATAGCCTCTCACTGCCATTCTTGCCATCAATCATAGATTTTTGGACCCGTGCAGCCAATCCTGAAGTTCAAAAATATCGAAGAAGTGATAAAAAGAGCAAATAGCCTTGAATACGGACTCACAGCAGCTGTGTTCACGAAAAACCTCGACAAAGCACTGAAGCTGGCTTCCGCATTGGAGTCCGGAACCGTCTGGTGAGTAGAACGTGTGTGCTCGGCTCTCCCGAGAGCCTGTTTCCTTATCCTTCTGTTAACGGAGAGCTTTCAGTCGTGTATCACATGCCAAGCACTGTCTAAGCACTTTGTCCATTCTCGTGACCACCTTCTGATGTGGGGACTGTTGTCACCTCCATTGTACAGAGAAGGAACTCAAGACAGAGAGGCTGAGTGATTTGCCCGGGGTCACACAGCTAGCCCGCGGCAGAGCAGAGCCAGCCGTCCAGCCCTGCTGCCCGTGCTTCTGATCACCGTGTTGCGTGCGGCGCCTTCCCTCTGGCTTTATTTCTTATTCTGTTCTTGGGCAAAATATGGATGAAAGGTCCTGCTTCCCCAAGAATTCTGCCTATCGCATTTTAAAGACATTAGAAGATAAAGATGAGTTGGGCTCAGAGAGGCGGAGTAACAAGCCTGGAAGCGGAAGAACTTTGAGGCCAGGAGGGTCTCATTTCAGAGCTAATTCATATTCCCTTCACCGTAATTTTGCTCCTTTTTCTCCCCTTATCATTCCCTTCCTACCCCACTGAGAAACTTTATGCTGAAATATATTCAAATTTTAGTTTCTGATGGGAAGAATGAGACGGCAGAGTTAAAACCTCGACAAAAAGTCATGCGTTGGGCGACGCTCTGCACCAAGCGCCCAGTGGTTGGAACGCCCGAGGTCTACTGGGTCCTCTCCAGGTGACCCTGGGCTTCTCTTTATTCTCTCTCCAGGATCAACTGCTACAACGCCATCTATGCACAGGCTCCATTTGGTGGCTTTAAAATGTCGGGAAACGGCAGAGAACTGTAAGTGTTGCTGTCACTCCACACGGTCAGCGGGCAGATAAAAGATGCACAAGATGCGCATGCGCAGGGGGTGGCCTGGCTCCAGCCCCCTGAGCCCTCCCCTGCGCTCCTGTGTGTGGGCGGCCCTCTCCCTGTGGGCTGGCCTGCATCCCTCTCCTCCTGCTTTTCCCCACCTTCATCCTCCCACCACGCCCCTTCCGACCCCAGGACCAACCACGGGACCAACCCCTAGGCTCGCCTTACATGTCCTCCCCCGAACCCGTCCACGTGGATACTTGACATCTGCGTGCTCGCTGCATGAGGACAGGGCAGAGCTGGAAAGTGCACTTTCTGCCAGACAGGGGATGTCATCACTCAGCTCAAACCCTGGCCCTCAGCAAGGAAGATGGGCTCTTTCCCAGGTCGGGCTGTGTCCCTTCTGACCACCAGTGGAGGTCCCAGGGACAGACCGTGGTGACTTGGCTCCTTCTCGGTGCCTCTTTGGAGGCGTGTTTTAACACATGCTCCTTCCAACCCGCCACGGACTCCTTTATTGTGCCCTCTGGGAGGATGAGCTCTGTATGCCTAGACGAATGGGTGGGCCCTCTGTGTCTGGCCCAAGATAAAAGGTCCAGGCCCAGAGCTGGACGGAGTGTCCCAGGGGGTGGGCACGCTGTGGTTTCCAGCCGGATGCAGCCTTCTCTCCCACGTCCTTTTTGGTGGTGCCTGGGGTTTTATTAGCCTTTCTGGACAAACAGCTTATAGGATCCATCTTCCCAGGGGAACCATCTGTGACGAGACACAGGGTCGTTACTGGGACATCTCAAAGGACTCTGAACTCTTTCTTTTCTTTAAACAGTTTATGTTATTTATATACAAATGCATCCTCGTACTTATTTGTACATCTTCCAGTGGGAGCACTCAAGTGCTTCCCCTCGGCGTGGGCCTTCGTGGGGCCTTGGGCAGCTCCCCTTCCAGATTCTTAATAAAGATATTATGGAGGAGCCGGGCTGGCTTTCATCCATAAGCAAATGCCCTTGACTACTCCCCAGGGAACTGGGTCCCTCCCCCATTTTGGTCCTTCTTTCTGGTCCAGCCCTGGCTCATGGCAGATAGGCCAGAGCCACCTGGATGTCTGAGCAGAGTGTGTCCTCTGGTGTCCCCCAAATTCCAAAGACTGGTATCCCCCTCAAGGAACCTCAGTAAATTCTTGGCCATGAAGACCTTTTCCAGAAAACTCATTTCCTCTACCAAGTGGCTTGTTTGTGTTGTGTTCTATGAGCCTCTTCACACCCACCTGCCCTGCCGAGAGGGACATGAGACCCGGACTGGGTCACCTGGGTTGCCTCCAGGGCCTCCCAGTAGCACTGGCCACACCTGGCATTTGCTGAGCATGGACTCTGTCTGAGCGCCCTGCGCGTGTTAAGGCACATCCTCCTTGTAATAGTCCGTGAGATGGTCTGAGTCCCTTCAGGCTGCTGGTACAGGATACCATGGACTGAACTAGAGTCTGGAAGTCTGAGATCAAGGTATCTGGTGAGGACCCTTTTTCTGGTTCACAGGTGGCTGTGTTCTCTGTGTTCGCATGCAGTGGAAGGGACGTGGGTGCTCTCTGAGGTTTCCTTTATAAGGACACTAATCCCGGTCATGAGGGCTTCTTGCCCTGATCACCTCCTGGAGGCCCCATCTCCTGATTTCTTCACATAAAGGGTTAGGGCTTCAACATGTGAATTTCAGGGGGACACACGCGTTTGGTCCGTTGCCAGTGGGCACTGCTCCTTTATTCTTAGGCTCTGTCTAGCAAAAGCCAGAGCTGAAATTTGGATATTTGTATTATGCTTTTACTGTGTCAAATGAGTGCTTTGGTTTTAAAGTGATCTTTAAAAGAAAGTTGAGGACATTCTAGAGCCCTAACCACCAATGAAGAGTTAAGTTATCAAGCCTGTCTGTTATTTCTGTTTGTAAGGGAAAGAAAGAGGTAGATTGCAGATTAAGGCTAATTGAAGCTGATATTCTTAGCCTCAGATTAAAATGAGGATTTTCCCCCCTAGACTTTCTCATGTTATGTCTTACATTTATATATCTAACCATTTCATTCTAAGGACGAGTGTGTAAATAAAAGGAGCAAGAAAAAAAGCAAAAAACCCCTCTTTTCCTATGAGGAAACCCAGGGATACCCAGGGAGGTGCCGTGCTGTGCTTTCCCCAGGTCACCCCACCAGTAAGTGACAAAGCTGGGATTGAACCCTTGAACCCACCACGCCACAGGGCCTTGCTCAGCAAGGGTCACGTCTCTGAGCCACCTGGGATGAAGCCAGCCAGAACACGCATGGTCATTTGTCTCCTCTGTTCTGCTGCTTCAACCAGTCAGGTTGTGACAGCTGGGGGACCCAGAATTCTGCATGGCCCTCCTCCCAGAAGCCAGACACAGTCTTCTCCTGCAGCAAGAACTTCAGTTCCCAAAGCTGATGTCCTTGGACGTCGAAGCTGCAGGAAGGATGCGTGGGGCCCGCCTGACTTCTAGGCTACTGCCTCACACCCAGTATCCCTCACTGCTTTCCTTGCCTGCATTACCTCCGTCTCCCTCCCAACCTCCCCTACCACCCCAGTGCTTTGGCTCCATGGCACCCCCTGCCCGCAGCAGAACAGGACAGGGAATGTTTGCTGCACGCAGTCCAAGTATCATCCTGCTGGTGAGCCACCATCGGGACTTTTTTTGGATGTCTGTTTTTTTGACCCTTGGCACATATTTTCCAAAAGCTTTTGATAAAGTACTTAAACAGAATTCACAAGGAGCCTGGAAACTGGCTTGAAAACCCATTTCCGCTGTCAGTGGTCTCTAGTTAATGTCTTCATGTTGCAGTAAGTTCCCTTTTTTGATGCTGGAGCCCTGCGCGGTGGATTCCATGGTTATTCCCATCCCCGGCCTCCCAGGCCGGCTGGCTCTCTGCCGCCCACCCACGGGCCCCTCCGGGGATCTGTTCCTGTGCACATCTTGGGATGAAGCCTGCAATTTCTCTTCCTTCTAGGTGCTTTTCTTCATTCTTTGTTTCGCTTTGCAATAAAAGTAACACAGTCACAAAAAAATCCAGACGGTGGAGACACGTGGAAAGTCAAGGCCCTCCATCCCATTTGGTAGCGGTAACCAGTATTCTGTCATTGATTTTGTTCACTTGCTCATGCGCTCACTGGCATGTGTTTAGTGAGCACCTTTGATGCACCAGGCACGCGCTAGGCTCTGAGCACACAGCAGTGAACGCTATTATCAGCAGTGCCAACGCCCCGACATTCTGGTGAAGTCCAGTGGGAGAAAAGCTGAGCTCATGGATGGCCTTGAACACCAAGGCAGTCATGACTGGGTGGGAAAAAAAAATTAGGTTGAATAAGAGCGACAAGAACTTGAACTAGGGCAGTGACTGCAAGAATAGAGAGAATGAGGTGAGTCATGCACTTAATCTTACAGGAATGATTTAATACTGGACTTATTAGTTAGGTACTAATTCAGCATGATTTCATCACTTGGTTTGCTTTGCTTTGCTAAGTTGATAAATCATTAACCAGTTTGACTTTTTACAATGCAACACTATGTGCTCACTTTTCAAGGTTATTGGACATTTCCTATACATACAATGGATAGAAACGGGTATGGGGTTTGTTTTTTTTTCCTGTTTTCAGATGAAATGGGAACAAAGTACTTTTTGCTCTTAAGAATGGGCTTTGGATATCCTATCCTTTTCATTGGTGGTTTCCTGTGATGGGATTTTGTTGTTTCTAAGGGGGTTTGCTATTACAAACCAAGCTGATGTGGGAGATTGTTTTCAGAAGAAATTCCCCACATTGAGTAATCCACCACATGAAAAGCGGGCTCCCCACTCTTTTGGTTTGCATTTCTTTAATTGTAAGGGATTGAGCATCTCTGTAACACTTACTGGTAGTCTTTTTTTTTTTTCCTGCAAACTGACTATTCATTTCTTTTGTTGATTTTTCCATTTGGTGTTTGTGGGTTTTTTAATTGGTTTTTAAGAGCTCTTTGTATATATTAAGGAAGACAGCACACTGTTTCTCACACAAGGTTACAAATGCATTTTTTTTCTAATTTGTCATTTGTCTTCGAATTTTTTAAATTGGAGTTTCTGTTCACAAAAGCTGAATTTAGCATTCTGTGTATGGCTTTTATATTTCGTTATATTTAGAAAAGATTACAGAGTAATCACCCATTATCATGGGTTCTTGAACTTTATTTTAGAAAACTATCAAAGAATCTCAATGACATATTAATAATACAATAATAATATGACTTTCTACCATTCAGTTTTTATCTAGTGCATAGTAGATGCTCTATTGAATTAACTCTAATCATGATATCTATAAGGAGGTGATGATATTCCCATTTTACAGATGATTATATTAAGGCTCAGGGAAGGCAAAAATCTTGCCTAAGCTGCATTGATCTAAGCCGTGGTTCTCCAGTTTGAGCCACATCAGAATCCCCTGGCTTGTTAGTCCCCTGGCTGCTAAAACACAAATTTCTGAGCCCCACTCGTAGACTCAGTAGGTATATGAATTTTCTATTACTGCTATGATAAATTACCTCAGAATTACTGGCTTTAAAACATGAATTTATCATTTTAGAGTTCTGTAGGATAAATATCTGACATGGCCTCCCTGGGCTAAAGTCAAGGTGTCTGCCAGGCTGCATCCCTTTCTGGAGACTCTAAGGAGAGGCTCTGTTTCCTTGCCTTTTCCGGCTTCTAGAGCTTCACCCGCTCCCTGGCTGGTGGCCCCTTCCTCCATCTTCAAGGCCAACAGTGTTGCATCTCTCGGAACCTGTTTCTGTAGTTTCATTTCCCTCCGACTCTCTTCTCTGGCCTTCCTCTTCCACTTTTAAGGATCCTTGGGGTGACATTGGGCCCAACTAGATAAATTCAGGGTGATCTCTCTATTTTCAGGACAGCTTATTAGCAATTTTAATTCTACCTGCAACTATAATTCCCCTATGCTGAGTATCCATAGGTTCAGAAGATGAGAATGTGGACACCTTAAGGAGTGGAGGGCATTATTCTGCCTCCCACAGTAAGTCTGGGGGCTGAGAATCTGCATTTCCATCAAGTTGTGCAGTGAGGCTGCTGCCGCTGGTCTGAGAACCCTGCTTTGAGAAACACTGATCTAAAGGATGAGATGGGACTCTGTCTCAAGTCTTGCTAACCACAGAGCCTCGGCGGCCACCGCTGCTTCCACCTCTTTTCCTAAATTCATACACATTCTTATTCACATCAGTGTTGAGGAGGCATTTAAATCTATCCAAAGCTGCCTCTCAGTTCTGGGAAGGGCAGCTGCCCTGCAGATGACTCGCAAAGCCCGAGCAGGGTCCCTGGGCTCTGCAAGATGGAAAGAAAGGACATACACAGAGACACTAACGCAAACACTGTGGACCCCCTGCGTCCGCTCTGTGCTGCTCCACGCTGGCCTCACTCTTCTTACAGCTGATCTCCAGCTGTGCTCTCCCAGGTCAGCTTCAGGTCCTCCACGTCCCTGTCCCTCAGGGACCCTCTGGCCACATCCCCAGTCTATATAGCTTTGGGTCTCTGCCTCTTTTGTCTCTTCAAGTGGCTCCAAATGGCCAGCAAAACGTACAAACCCAGTGTTCTCTGTGCTCACCCCAGCTCACCCCACTCCTTCACCATGCAGCCCTCTCTATTCTCCACCACCCAGGGAATTCACCTCTTTTTTTTTTAATCACCTTCATTCTTTACAGGCAAACTCAGTCCTTCTGAATATTTCAAAAGCATCACACACACACAACTTGATATTTCGCCTTAAATTACATATCCATGTACTTAAACTTCCTAATGGTCTTAGAGTCCTGGTTATTACTCTATTAAGTCCTCGCTCTTTGGCCCTTTACACAGACCCCAAACTGCCCAGTGGAGTACTAGCCAATCAAGCATTAGAACTGAGTTCCCACAGCACGGCTAAGTGTCTACCCATCTTAAACCTCCCTCTTTTCTGTAATCACAGAGGTGAATATGCGCTGGCTGAATACACAGAAGTGAAAACTGTCACCATCAAACTTGATGACAAGAACCCCTGAAGGAAAGACAGGCTCCTTCCACAAGCATCTGACGGCTGAATGTGGCAGATCAAACTGCAGAGGAAAAACATACGTTTATGCCCTTCCCGGGATACTTTCTTCTGGAGACTTTAAATCTACTGGATCTGAGCAACTTTTATTTTCCTCTCACATTCCTGTTTTATTGACCAATATGTTGTGTGTGAAATTGCAGTCCTGCCTGAGGATGGGACTAGTGGCCATTTCCGTGTCCCTTGTCCACCAGATCCCAGGGGACAGTGAGGAGGCTCGGGACATCGCCAGCAGGACGTGATATTTGAAGTATCGCGCAGTCTCTTAAAAATGCTTTGCTGACTCTGACTCCAGTAAGAATTTGGGGGGAAAAATATCCCTGCATGTTCTGCAAACGGGGCCCTGTCCCTGTGAGTTCCCCAGGGTTACCTGTCCAGAGAACAAGCCCCTCCTACCATTCAGTGGGAAGGAATCGCACTAAGTTAAAAACAAAAAAACAGACAAAAGAACAAGATCAGGAGGATCTGACGTGGTGAGCTTTGGGGAAGCCAGTAAGTACCTCGGAGGGGTTTTGAAGGCCTTTGGGTGTGAACAGGTGTGGGTCTTCGAGGCCCACATCTTGACATTGACCACAGGACCAGCTTAAAATCAATACTGCCTTTGGAATGTGACTGAATCAATCTCCCAAAGAGCTTATCTAACACTATGTCATGTTCTACCTTAAACAAGGCACTTTCTTAGGCAGGAAATGTCACTAGCGTCACCATCGCTGTTAAAGACCCAGACACTTCCTAGGATCATTAAGTCCCACATTTTACAAATCAGAGCCATAATTTGCTTTGCCCAACTAGGCACGCCTACCATTTGCATTAATGGTTTTATGATAAACCTGTGTAGTTTTGCTTTTCTCCAGTTTGATTCTCAAAATTTTAGACGAGTAAAACATACGCAACTGGAAAGACTGTTGTTATTGATATAGCCCTGGTTTTTCAAAGTCCTATTTTGAACTTAAGTAGTGATTAATTAACAAAGAACATCTGGACTCCGTGGAGGAACTGGGTCCCCTGCTACAGTGGCCTGAGTATTGCACAAACGAGTTGTGAACTTTTCTTTTTCTCTTTGTGTAGCTGAAGGATGTGCAATTCCGAGTTGTGACTTGGAAAACTGAAAGCCTTCCCATATAGCTTTAAAAAACAAAACCAAACCAAACTTCAGTTGTGTTATTCAGATACTTTTACAGTTACTAACTGGTACTTTTCTCATGGTGCTTATGTCTGAGGATGAAGTCGAGGGGCAGCAAGAAAGCAGAGGTCTATGTTAAAACCAGTGTATGTATAAAGAAAGTCATATGTGAAAGGAGGTTCTCATTCTTGTTGGAAATATGCAATATGCAATCCACCTTCTTCTCTAAATCAGTTAACACTTAACACTTAGACAATCAGTAACTTGTTCAGTCAGGATTTGACTTCATACACTGAATTTTCAGGATTTTTTCTCAAGTAACTATAGACACTAACCTTGATAGTAATACATTAGAGGGTTCTTTATTCTTTCATTGTACAATAATGCCTTTAATATGAAATGCTACATTATTTATAATTGGTATAGTTAATGTATCTTTTTATAGCTGTAAGTAAACAGAGGTGGTGTATTTAACCTTCTGTAATATACTGTATTTAGAAATGGAAATCTATATAGTATTAGATTTCACTTCTTTTAAGGTTGACTCCTGTGGTATGGTTTAAAAATCTATTGGCCTGGGAATTCTGATCCTAACTGCAGATTGTGTTCAACAATGCAACAACCATAAAATAAAACTGGATATTTGAGAAACGTTATGTTTTTTTATTTAAAGACCAGACCCCTTTTAATTCTGTGGCTGAACTTCTTTTTCTTAGACCTTTGGTACAAAAGGCTTAGAATAAAGGAGTTATCAATCACTTAAGGATAAAATTACATTTGCTCCATTCATGACTTAGCCTGAGTGTGAAACTCCCTTCTGTGGTTTTGGGGGTGGACCAGGCAGCCAGCTCAGCCTCAGAGGCTGTGGTCTTGGTGAAGTTAAAGCTGTCATCTGAACTGAGTCTCTTCTCATCATAAAGTGATGAGGATGTGAGTGTGGAAAATGGTGGGGAGGATTTCCTGGGGGATTAGGGAAAACACTGCATCCTGTGACTATGTGCACAGCATCCATTTTTGTCACTTTTCTCCCTGAGGATCCCGGGGTTTGGGTTTAACTTACCTAAAGTTTCTAAGGCTTGAAACCAATAAGCCTCAATCACCAAGTCATACGCTGACACTGATGTTGGCTCCAGTACATTCCTGTCCACCAAGTTCAACCATGCATCTCATGTTGAGAAACCAGATCACTTTGGCCATGCAGAGGCAAAGCTCCACCATTTCAGAGAAAACTTAAGGGTGGCTTGGATCCTATCTTTTTTAATATATACATTTTTGTATACGTTAATGCATTTAGAAAGCCATTTGCCTGACGAAATGTGAGCAGAAAATTCAAGGAAAATGACGTTTCCTTCATTTGGTTTACCATGAAGGGAACCATCCTGGGGACCTACACCAGCTGCGGTGTGTGTGTGTGCACATGTGCACTTGTGTGCCCGCCGGGGTAGGGTACAGTACGTGGGCACATTCTCTAAAAGTGGACCTTCTGGAATGCACTGGCTTCTCCTGATGGGGAACCAAGCCCTTTTAATATCCTTGCTTCTAGCATATAGCTGACTTGAGCTTAAAGGTGGATAATGAGGAACATTTTAAAAAAGTATCCAAGGAGAAATGTCGGAGGAAACTGAGTACTCAGCTTAAGGAAGGTGACTGGAAGAACCAAGGGAGCAATTACTATACCTTCCAGAGGTTAGAAAGGGTAGGTCAGGGAGGTGGTTTCGAGCTGACCTCACCTTAGGAGGGGTCATTTCAACATGAGATGATGAGAATCTGAATACAGGACAAAGCTAGGGAGTCCGCGGGGGTCAAGAAGAAGGAGAAAGAAATCTTAACTGACTGGTAACAGTCACCTCATGCCAACCTGTAATAACGCATGACTAGCAGAGGTAAATGCTGGGATCTAACCAGCCTGAGACTGGCCACCGTGTACCTAGTATCCGGGCTGTTTTTCTACAGTGGAGACATTTCCAAGTCCATTCCCAAGCTCATTTAAAAGGGAAATTTAATCTCCCCGTTCCTGGTTGGCCATATCCGCTCCCCTGTCAGCCCGGGAACTGGGCGTGCGCTTCCTCATGGTGCCGCTAGATGGCAGGGCCGCGCGCCCTGGAGGGGCCGCCCGAAGATCGCGGCGCTCACTCAGCACAGCGGACGCCACGCCCTGCAAATTATTAGGGACTTTTCGATAGCAACCATACTGCCGCTTTTTGCATACTGGAATTTTCTAATTCTGCAGTGGTAAGGGCAGGATCGCAAAACTGCAGCCAGCCTTTTGGAAGGGCGTCGGGTCCAGGAGAGCTAGAGGGGCAGCCTCTTGGGGGCAACGAAAAGCTGCCCTGTGGTTCCCTCGCCAACCAGGAGCCCAAGGAGCCGCTCCAAGTGGCCACTGCCTGGAGTGTCCGCGAGGTCGTGTGGGGACCCTGCGGCTGCCCAGCTTTTGTGAAATAGCAGAGATGGTGCTGGTGATTAGTTTCTGTGCTTTGGGGTAAATCCTGAGAATGTTCCACATACAACATTACATGAGAGGAGCCTAGGTTGAGGTTCCTGCCAGGTGCAGAACCATCCGCTTTCTCCAAGCGGGTTTCTCTTTCCCCGGTGGGCACGGGGAGCTGAATCTGATGCCTGTCTGCGGCATGGACGTGCATCTTTATGATCTGCGTTTGGATAATGGCCTCAGTGGCAGGAACATACTTACATTAGGTTGAAACGTAATAAATTGCTAACATTCTACCATGTTTATCTACTCTCCCTCCCCCCCCCCAAAAGCCCAGACAGTTTAATGATTCACCAGTGACATCTTTGTATACATTCATACTTAAATTTAGCAAATTCATGTGGTGGAAGGGGTACAGTTTGCAAAATATTTTTAAAAATTTAAAATACATATTTGTAGTCCGCCCTATTAAGAGTTGTACACAAATGAATAGTCCCATCTTTTTCATATTTACTTCCAGAGTATACGGGATACGAGTCAGAAGTTCTTCGGCGGATTTTGCCGCTGAGCGGAACAGAGGGGCAGGGAAAGCTGAGAGAACCGACCATCTGAGGGCTACGTCTGCCCCGCGTGGAGAGCAGGGTACCCAATCCTGGAGGAGACC